TGGAGAATCCTCGGGGCTCCGGAGGAGTTCTCACCTACATCGTCCATATAGGACGACTCGGGAACTCAACTCCTACCCCGGGCAGCTCACCTATCCCCTTATGCCCAGGGGAAAGGTATCAAGCCGTTTGACAGCTGATGCTAGCTGTCAAACCGGCTTTTACGCGAAACAGGCGGGAGGCAGCAAACAGCTGCGACCGTCGAAGACGCCTGCCACCGGAAGTCTCCAGCGTACCTGCTTTCTTGACTAATAAAATATTATAAGCTTGTGTAGTATTTAGTAATTAGCCAAGAGGAAATTGTTTTATCATCATGTAGAAAACATTGAATTGGGTTTTGGGTTTAGTTTGGTTTGGGTTTGGTATTTTGATCTTCCAGAGTTTTATATGTTGGGTTTTTATTTTACTCTGCGTAGAGCAATAGGTTAAGTAAAATAAAGACATAGTGTATTATCAAGGAGCGTGTATTTTTCTTGCAGCATTAAAAATGACATTTTTCTTTAAATTGCAGCATATTTTTGTCTGGAATAAATTGTTTAATTAAACTTGCACTTCAAATATTTACATTTGATATTTATATTGGTATTGTTTGGGTTTGCTGGTTCCTCAGGTTATCCTACTCTACGGATAGAGAAGAATGACCTTAAAAGTGTAACTTTGATAGAGGCAAAAGCTAAAGTGAAGGATATAGCAATCTCCAGAGAGAGGATAACACTAAAAGATGTTCTTCAGGAAGGTATTATTTAAAACTTGCTCATTTGTTTTACATTTTTTTTGTTTCTTTTCACAGTTTCTGTAAATTATTCAGATAGATGTTGGTAGTTTTAAGCAAAGAGTTAACTAAAATAATCAAGAAAATGGTCAATTTAAGAAACTAGTTTTTATCAGAGTTTTTTGTTACAACTTAGTTAGACTTAGGTGCCTGAAACAAGATGAAAAAAAATGGTCTTTTTTATAGAGAAAAAGAATCAGATTAAGATTAAACTGCCCTAGAGGAGCATAAAATGCATTTCATTGTAGCATCTTCTTTAGAAATTTTTCTAAACTTCCCAATCTAGCTGGCAACCCTGGAATTACATAAGGTCTCCATATGCAGTTTACTAACCAGAATTGATGCTGCTTAGGTTCCAAAATAAGTCAAAGGTTAGCAAGATGCTGTACCCCCTGAATCTGATTTCTTATTCCTTAATGCTTAGGGAAGAGAATTTCTTTGAGTCAGGATCTGTACAGTATAAATTATGTAATAATAAAATAATATCTATATTTTACCATTTTATAAGATAATTTTTGTTCTCAAAAATCAGTTTTCAATGTTACATAATATACAGCCATTGCTATAGTTTCTGCTCAAATGTCATGTCGAAGCTCTTGACATCGATGGTGCTTCTTAAGCTTTTAACTTCTGGTTAACTTGCTCATTTCCCAGTTTTTCTAATCAAATTAATTCAGACAGAACATTCTAATGCTTGAGGCAACCAAGGTGCACAATTGGAAGAGCAAGTTCGTCAAATTTAACTAAGGAAATATTATGATTTTCAGTTTATCTGATGATCTGACTGGTCTTAAAATGGACTTTAAAAGGTTTCAGCACAGTCTATATTAAATTGTATTTCAATAATAATATTTTATTCAATGTGTATGCCATGACTGTCAGTGACATTGGGCAGTGTTTTGAATTGTGGTTGAGTGGATGGGTTTGATGAGTTCTGCATGTTTTGAAAATGAGAGTTTCACTATAACTGAGTTAGTTTCTAAAGTTTACATTAAAGCTTATATTGACAATCATTTATTTCTCCAAATTGTACAATAAAAAATCAAAGTTCAGGTGTCAAATGCTATGTGATTAAAAGCAAAGAAGCTTCAGCTGTGAATGTTCTGAGGAGGAGGATCAATGGCTAGACTTAATTACTCTTCATAGTTGAGTTGTTTGAAGTATGTACAAATATCTTTATATTAGTTTTTTTTCTTTAATTTTTCTTATTATCAGGCACATTTGGTCGAATTTTCCATGGTATTCTAATAGAAGATAAAGATCCTAGTAAAGAAAAACAAGTGTTTGTCAAAACAGTAAAAGGTAAGATTTTAACATTGAATTTCATTCTTGGAGACCCATGCTTCTTCATCAGCATTCATTTCTAGGTGTATCAAAAGAAATGTCCTTTAGCACACATCATTTTCAGTTCAGAGAAGAGTAGATTTTGCTATACACGAGTACATTTCAAGCATACAAGCTAACAAAACAGTAAAGAGATTGGATTAGTCACTCTGGAAGTTGATGCCTGCCAGTGAACGTTCGAAATATGTGTTTTTAGGTGGAAATTATTCCAAATTCTATTGGGAAGTCAGTTTGCAATATAAGTGATAACAGGAAGAAAAACCGAAACACATAAAACATATTAGCTTTGAATAATAAATTGAAAGGGATGGTAGCTTGTACTTCTCTAGTTAAAAGAACCAAGTACATAGTCTTGTGAAGATGTCTAGAATTAAGAAAACTTGAAGGAATCTTGACCACCTATTTTGCTTTTTATCATATTTTTTAAAAAATATATTGCAGATGTTTCTATGCCATTTCAGTTATATAATTCCTAAGAGGCTTATGGCATAACATTAAATATATAATATATAAATCAAAATTATAATACATAGAAATAACATACATAAGTACTATCAACATCTATCACGATAAGTAACTGATTGCTATAAGTATTATCAAGAATCAACATAGATTCAAAATGGTATTGATAATATATGAAAACAGCACTAAATAGTCAAATTTATTTCAGCTTTCTCTTATCCTCCCCTTAACCCCCATATTTACATTTTAAAGCCATTTTTAAAAAGCTTCCTGGAGAGTAAGAGAGGATGCAGTTTGATGGGAGACCTTTCTGCGGGAGGGAAATTCTTCCAGAGCATATTCACTTCAGTATCCCCTTTGGTTGCATCTTAGGTAGAGTGGGTATCCATTTTAAATTAATTACTATGGGTTAGATTTGTTTTCTTGGAAAAAATGGGTGATTTATAAGAAACAGCAAGGAAATTATCTTGATAAGAAAACACAATAGGTTTGATCTAGAGTTTATATTGCATGAATAGAAGAGTTCTCCTTTGGAAATGATCCTATCAGGCATGGTTCAAGTACCTGGGATCAAATCCAAATTTCTGGAACTGTTTAAAA